TTCAAGATGAACAACAGGTAATATGGAAGAAACTTCAAAGTGATCCGTCGATCTTAGGGCAATTTGTCTTCGATACTAGCAATGAATCGTTAGCAAAAGCGTTCATTTCGGAAATTTACTCTGTCCTTGATGGGTCGAATACTGAATTGCTGAACACCGAAGAAAATCGATGTCTGTATCTGCTTTCTTTACAAGAGTCCTTTGGGCCCTTTCATGATAATATAGTCAACGAACCATATATATTCAAAAGATATATGTCCCTAATGGAACGCTTCAAAGCTTTTATTTGGAAAATTATTCTCGCATCAAAGCAGGAGTCGATAAGAAGTCGATTGGTTCTGCGTAAGTGTGTGCTTTTTTACTGCAAAGACCCCCGACTTTTGACTGAGTATAATATGAGCGTTATACAAAAGATCGCAACTGAAGCTGTTGAGACTGATCTTCGTGAAATGTTAGCTATTATCACTGATACACTAGCTATTAGAACACTTTACCTTAACGATGAAAAAACGAGAGAATATCGTAACAGATTGGACGAAGCTTATGGCACACATACAGCTGAATATAATGAATTGACTAAAGTTGAACAGATAGGTGAGTATATTAACAAGCATCATTCGTTACTTCCAGTATTTGCGAAAGACTTCATATACTCGTTGAGTATTGCTAGTCAAGGATATGATGAGCTCAGTCAAGCTTCAATTTATGGACAAATCGCAGACCATTTATGCAAAGCCTCAACTCGTAACTTTCATATGGCAATTCGGCAAAACCCTCAAGGAGAGCTACAGTTTAAAAAGTTATTGTATAAAACAAAATCTTATGAGCATCTTGCGTACTACGGAGAATTGACGTCTGAGCTTTTGGAGCTTATTTTCGCATTAGATCCCGCCATAGACGATGATGAAGAGATAGAACAGGACATTTTACCTTTCATTATTACCATAGCTAATCGAAGCGTGCTAGAACAGCTATATGAAAAACTTATGTCAAAATATTCTTTTGAACGTTTACTGGCCGGACGACTACTTGTTCATTTAGCGTCATGTGATGCGATTTCTGCCCAAGAAGCGAATGATAAAATCTTAATCGCAATACAAGATTCGTTTGCTCAACAACAAATGAAATGGTTTCATGCTGACAACAAAGACTGTCGAGGACATGATGGCTTGGCTCAGCAAATGGGTCTGATGCTTTTACAACTATCTTTCGCTCATAGGAATCCATTGACCAGTAGTTCTCCATTGTGTCATGAGCCCACATTTGTTTTTCACTATGCAAAACAAATCAGAAATCAAGTGGTGTGCCTTTTTACTACAAATGAAATATTGCATGTAGTTGAAACTGATGACAGCAACGATACACATTATATCGATGATGATAACAACAATGGTGACATCGATGAGGATGACGTCGATGATGACATCGGTGAGGATGACGTCGATGGTGACATCGGTGAGGATGACGTCGATGGTGACATCGGTGAGGATGATAGCAGCGGATGATGAAACATGAATTTCACTATTTTATGTTTTAAGCAAGTCACGTTAGACAAAATTAGAGGAGGGTGTGGGTGGGTATGTTGTGGCTATGGCTGTGAGTTTGTAATGGATATAGCACTCATATCCACCCGCACCCATCCTGAAATAAATGATGATTCTTATTGAAAATAGAAGAACAATTATTCTGTTGAAGTCAATATTGATTTCTGAGTTCAGTTTTATATGAAATTAAAAAATACCACAGAATAAACACATAAAAAGTGCGTTTTTTTATCAAATTTGTATGCTGTCAGTTGATATTAGCGTCTAGATAAATATGGAACTCTCTGACAGAAAAAATCATCCAAATAAAGCATTATGCTTTCTAATAATTAATTTCATTGATAGGTAATAATTCAAGAATAAAGATAATAGATTTAACAGCAGCAAAAAAACTAACCATTATAATGTAATAAATGTATTTGATATATTTAAAGAGTCGACATGTTTCGCTAACTCTGTAGCATTATCAAGACATAAGAAATTTGACAGAAAAAAATGACTATATATAGTTAACACGAAAACAATGACGTGATAATCGAGAACATTCAAGTGATTCTAACAAATAGAAAACACCAGAATATCTCTATAACGACATGTATTGTTATGTACTGATCAGGACATAACAATATATGTGTGTGTGGTGGGTGTGGTTGGTGTGGATATGGGTGTAAGTTCCACCTTTTATTTGTCAGACACCCACACCATTTTACCTTTGATAAATTGGTAAAATCAAAATTTTTACAAATACTATGAACTTTCGCACAACCTAGATGGTATATCTAAAATACAAAAGAAATTCTAAGCTTTAGTGATTAGAAATGTAAATTGAACTTACCTTGCGTTTATATTTAACAAGTGATTCACTAGCTGGTATTTTTTACAGGCTCAATCCATATCCTACGTTTTTACAGCCTTAACAATTATTTGACGGTTAATCCATTATAGCAACGAACTAAAAGAGTTAGAATATGATATTAACTATGTTTTTTCAAGAAAAACATACCATATCAATCTTGAAATCATCATGAACTTTAGAATCGACATTTTCAAAAAGAAGCCTGATCTTGTCTGTAAAAATGGACAACATTGAATGATAAATTTGAATATATTTTCCTATCAGCGTATCTTTTAAATTTCCTACAGAATAGAAACTTGTTCTATAATGATAGTCCATGAGGAATGGAAGATAACTTTGAACACATATGTGCTTTTAAACTAATGAAATCATGACTACAAAACAAAACATTGATCATAATAGAAGCCCATCTCAAAACTTTTGACTTTCAAAACAAATTCGAAGTCAACTAGTCTTCTATTCTGTAGAGGATTTTAATCAGAAAACACGCAAAAATTTACCAATTTCATATAAAAGATCATTTGAGTTCAAGTATTGTAATCGAATATCGTTTAGAGTTTGATTAGTGTTTAAACTATTTTAGCGCAGATAAAATCAAATAGAGATCTCTTACTGAATGACAGAAGTTGATTAATGCGATTTGATGTTCTTCCAATCGATACCATTGCTTGTTTTTCTTTCAGCAAACCCGGATTCAAGTAATATTCCCTTAGAAACAACAGATATAATTTATGTTGACTATAGCCAGCAATGACTGTAGAGTTAGTACGAATAATTGTTGATAATAGCTTGGTGAAGTGCGTTTGAGTAAGTAGTTCAAATGATTTGAAGGCTGGAAGATTAGTAATTTCATCGTTGGTGGCGTCGTACTACCTATGAATAATACGAAAAACTTGAGGGTGTGGGTAATAAAGGATATAACTAGTCACACCCATACCCACCCTCGAACTTTCTCTCGCTCGAAATATATATATATATATACTTACAAGTAAACATGTATGCTGTATTAATTAGTTTACTGTATCGATTATTATTATGAATACTGTTTATGTGTTATTCTCAATTTCATTATAAGACAAATGATATTCGAATATTCTTTAAAACATTGTGATGTTTATTAAGGTGCATGTTCTTCAAACATGTTAACAAAAAGAAAAATTATTGTATATTGTTCGCACATATACTTTTGAAAAAACACTGTCATGATTTTCACATATTACGAAAAATTTCTACTCTACAACATTAAGAAACAACAAACAAAATTCTATATTCTATTTTTCGAAATACAAACAATAGTATAATTCAATTGAAAAGCATAGATACAAGTCTGTCAGTTTTATGCATAATAGAAAATGCCCTGAGTAGTTGTATAAATTTATTTATGTTGTTGTATAATGTTTGAAAGATGTTGGAATTGAATCATTAAAAAGAGTCGTATATGTTGTTTTAAGTGAACTAACATAATTTTGCATTGTTCGATTTGTATTATTTGATTGTTCTAATTTATCACGTAATTCACTCAATTGTGATGTATAACGTCGTTCAACTTCATCTTTTTCTCGTTTTAATTGTGCATATTCAAGATGAAGTCGAGATATTTGTTGTTCAAGATCAAATGTATTCTTTTATAAAACATGTTCCTTTTTTTAAAATTTAAAAAAAAATTATATTTACCTTAGAACTATATGCATCATCTCGAACTTGATAATGAGTGTTTTTTGAATCAATTTGCGTATTGATTGATGTGATATCATACGTTTTAGAATTTAGACGAGACTAAATAATATTCGAAAAAAAAAATGAATTTATACAGTGTGAAAGTTTTTATTGTTTTAATAGAAACTCATCGATCTAAAAGACTCTTCTTAGTTTTAATACGCGTATCAATCGACTTCTAAGTGCTATTTTCCTTCAGAATATCAATAAAAATGATCGATGATTTACTTGTACAATATGTAATTCTTCTTCTTTTTTATTGAGTTTTTTTAATAAGTCTTCATTTTGATCTTCCAAGGACACAATTTTACTAAAATAGAAGTATGAGAAAAGAAAAAGAATTTTATTTAGTTCATTTTACCGTTGAAGTGTTCGAGTATCATCATTGAATGATGAATGATTATCTTTAGATCGATCTATAGAAGTCATTGATTGACCAGAAAAACGTTTTTCAAGTTCATGAATATGTTTTTGAAGTTTTTCATTTTTCGATTCAACTTGTTTCAATAGATCAGGTAATGGTTCAAGTTCTTCAATACGTTTTTGTAATCGAGCACGTATTCTTTCTAATTCAATTTCAGATAAATGATTTTTACTATTATTAGCTGATGTTTTTAATGTTTCAGTATGTAATTGAGCTTTATATTCACTTATTACAAGTTCAGCTTGTTGAAGTTTTGCACGTAATTGTAAAATTTCAGAATTTGGATCATCTGTTTGTTCACTTTTATTATCACCTAATTTTTGTTTTAATTCATTTATTTGATGATCACGATTATATAATTCAGCTTGTAATTTTTCAACTGTTATTGCTTTCTTTTTAGACATTGGAACGCGATCTTCAACGAAACCGTTTTCC